GTATGCATGTATGTATGCATGTATGGATGGATGGATGGATGTATGTATGTATGTATGTATGTATACACACACGGTAGAGGCACCGTAACTCAAGCTGAGAAGTACCCACAACCTGCAATACTGGAGGGGCTTCTCTTAGGAAACGCCAGAACGGAAAGCGCCGGGCTCAGCTCAAGCGCAAAAACTGCCGAGGTCACCCTATGAGCTCATACTGCTCATCTGTGCCTGAAGAGAGGCTGCTGCAGTTGTTAGGGTCTAGACCCCCATAGAATAAATAATATAGCGATGAGAGGTAGCATCTATTGTTAGGGCGGGGCTTGGGAGGATCATCTTTCGGGGCTGCCACTAGGTTGAGGATGCGGCAGAACTTGGCAACAGAGCTTCCACCCACAGAGGTAGGAGTAACTTGATTAGATTTTACTAGTAGCTAGCCCCAGCACCAAGCTTCACAGCCCGAAGTGCATTGGGCTGTGCTAAGCAGCAGAGGGGTCCTGAAGCCGTTTTGCGCAGTCTGCATTTTGAAGTCAAACCAGCCTCAAACCCAGGTGCATGAAGTCACATTTTCACAAGATTTGGTTCTCATTCAGTTATCACTACACTGCATGTGGCATATCTCTGAGTCTTACAATGACAGTGAGGATGGGCGTCACATGTCTTGCGCTCCTTCATGCGGTGTCAGCCTGGCAGGCCAATTGGGCAGACACCCTCTTATGCAGAACGTCTCAATGGCGCTTCCAGCTTTCCAGACAGGACTTGCAAGCAGTGCTCTATGCATGCCCCATGACCCTGGTCCCAAAACTCATGGCTCAGCAGACCCTCAGCCGTTGAATTGATGCGGACCTTCCCCATGCAACATCTTGAGGGTAATCAGGGTTTGGGACATTGTGCTCACAGCATCGTTGGAAGGATCCCGTCATTCAAGACAGACGTCGACCACCTCCCCGAGTCCTTAACCAAGGAACGGCTGGCAGAGCACAACTGCGACTCCTTTAGTCGACGGGGTGGAGCCCTGCCCTATCCAATGGCCTCCAGAGGTGGGGGGATTCTGCAAAGTTTTTTTGTTTGGATTATTTACTTGCTTATGTAGAGGTGCCACTAGATACAGCTCCCTTCGTGGTTACTAGGCTCCCTGACGAGTACCTGTGTTGTGGATTATTCCCAGGTTCCCAAGATGGGAGGACGGAGCAGGATGACTCTGGCCTGCGGCTAGATGGGAGTATCTGCTCGGACCTTCCCCACCGCCTTGGTGTAACGGGAGTTGTCCCGTCCCAGGCAGTTTGCCGGAAACAGAGCCGGCTTTGTGATAAATGGAAGGAAGGGAGCATTGTTGAAGTCTTCTCTGCCTCCGCTGGCCAATGGTATGCAGCCCAAGTGGGCCAAGTGGAGCCACAAAGCGACGGCAGCGAGGACATAGTGACAGTAGTTTTCTACATCGGCGACCAGATCAAGCAGAAGTCCATTTATAGGACCGATGCTTCACTGGCACCTTTGGGCACGCATACCTTCAACGAGCTCCCTCCCGGGTTTGAGACCAGACCTTCCCAGTCCAAGCCAGGGCAGCTAGTCTACTTCGACTTGACAGCGGGAATCAAGCACCTCGCCCTTCTTTACGTGACGGCCTGACTAGGATCGTTGTAGGTGGATGGGTGGGCTTTTTGGCTGCTTCCAAAACAGCGCATCCTTTTTAGCAGCTTAGCATCTGCGCATGATGGCTATATTGTCAGCCGAGAGCAGCTACATACAAGATTGCGCTTAGTAATCCTTACACGGCCGGGCTGCGATGTTTTCGCACATTTCCAACAGGTGGCGTTCTTTTCTGGTGCCTTTGCAGTTCGACCCTAGAGAATGCTATGCTCAAGGTATGAGAACTCATATCAACCTGTGTTGAATCCTTCTGAATTTTCACGCAGAAGCTGCCTGTGTACAACCTCCCACAGTTCCCATACAAAGCGCCAAAGCCCCAAACCCCGAACAAAGCACGAAGCCTACCAAAAAGCTTCAAATCTCTTCTAGACCCCCGACTTACCTTCAATACAGCCCAAACACCCACAAATACGACCTACATGAACCCAATTTAAGGCTAGTCTGGGGCCGCTGTTGCAAACAGAGTCTCCGTCTGATTTTCCATTCTCGTTTCTGCTTGACCCCCATTCTCCCTAAACTGCAACCCTATTGTACTAGTTGCCATGTCATTTTCCCACTCGCTTTTCCATTTCATCGGGCATTGTCCCAATATTACCCCCATGTACTCAATCCCTATGTATATGCATACATATATATATATATATATCCCTATGCAGCCCTACACAGCCCTGCATCCCTATATATATATGTGTGTGTTTGTATGTATATAGATATAGATAGAATCATATATTCCTATGTGGCCCTATGTATCCCTACATATCCTTCCTTACTACTTACATAATACTCCCTATGTATCCCCACATATCCTCCGTTACTACTTACATGATACTCCCCAGCATAAGGTATGCCTCGCTGGAGCTTGCGTGGCATGTGCATTTCGAGCGCCTGAAACAGCAACCCGCAGGCTGCGAAACCGTGGTCTCTTGGCTTTGCAGGGTTTCAGGTTTTAGGGGTTTAGGGTTTAGGGCTTAGGGTTCAATTTGCAGGGCTTGTATACTGGAGTCCTGTTGAGCCAGCTAACATCACGAGCCTGGGTTCAAAAAAAGGGCTTAGGGTTCCAGGGTTTAGGGGTTGGGGTTCCAGGGTTTAGGGTGTTAGGGTTTAGGCTTTAAGGGTTCCAGGGTTTAGAGCTTTAAGTTTCATAGTGTAATCAGGGTTTCAGGGTTGTTTCGGGTTCTAGGATCGTTTTAGGTCTTAGGTTTGGGCTGGGGCTCCTCAATTATTATGGAGACTCACATGGGAAAGAAAATGGCAAATGACATGGAAACCGGAATCATATGAAGGTTTATGAGGTGCATGTATAGTACCTACTTTAGGCGCTAAACTCCGCAATTTCCGACTTTGGGCGATTTGGAGCACTAGGGTTTGAGTTTAATTAGGGGGCTGGGGTTTAGATGCAAAGGCTTGCCGGCTTGGGGTTTAGGGTCTAAGATTTTGGCAAGGCACACAGGCCCGAAAGCAAAACAACAGTCGCACAATCACGCGCACACCTTGTTCTTCTCTCTCCAGAAAAATGCTGAAGAGATTGTGGCGTTTACTGCTCAGCATCTCTGGCTTCGGCTTCATAAGTCCCCAAGATTTCAAAATGGGGGGCTCAAGGGGGCTGTAGGAACTTGAAAGTTCAGTTCGCTTGGGGAAGATTTCAGATGGTGGAGCTTGCCGTTGCAGGTGTAAGGCATCTGAGAAAGGCACGTTGATTTAGTAGTTTCCCTAAATAAGGGGACCACAATATACACCCCAAAATGCTATAATCCTTATTATGGGGACCCCCAAAAAGGTACCCCTAATTTTGGGAAACTACCATTTAGAGTCTGTGTAGAGGCTCCTAGTCTGATCGGGATCCTGTGACAAACAGAAGTCGTGAACACTGAAAGGGTGTAGCAGGCCTACACTCTCAGCATCGAACAACGCAACAGGTCATGTGGCATGAATTTTGGGCTTCGACCTGGCATTTGACGTAATACGTGCTAGGTTGTCCAAAGGGTGGGACACCCAAAGTTCCCGGCAAAGCCTTCATTCAAGTTTCTCCAAGCAGCCTCAAGATAATCCTTTAGGGGGCCCGCTCATCCCAATACAAGGCCGAAAAGCCCCTGGCCCTTCTTGAGAAGCGTCCCCAGACCCGAAGCCCTATACATGTCATCCATGTAAAGCTTATGGTAGCCCTTTCACATATCCATATGGGTTTCTCTCAAAATTATGGGCTCCTTTTGGTTACTGATTATATTCCGGCCCCTAATATCTAGGCAAAATGGGACCCCAATTTTGGGAACTACACGTATCCATATGTAACAACTTAGCAGAGCCCAGGCGTGCGTGCAGCCTGGACGTGGTTCGCGTACTTTGTTGCCTCAGGTCCCGATTGCAGAGGTCCCGTCACCAATGCCCTTTGGGCTGAACTGCAAGGTTTTTTGCTGGATAGTCTAGTTTAGGTTCAAAGATGTGCAAAGTATTGAGGTTTGGATTAGATTGGGATGTTTAGCTTGGCTTCAACAGTCGGCGGAGGCTTCAGGATGTGGATCGTGCATGCTTTTGAATTTATGGCCGCTGTCATGTGCTCCGCTAGTTAAGAGGATCCCGAATTTCTGACGGCTTTACACGGACTGAATGTCTCTTACTTAGGGGGTGACTAATCACCCTTGTTTGCTTCTCAGAACGAGCAGCTCTCACTCAAAGATTATCCTCAGCGCTTGGTAGGGAGAAGCTCATTTGGCGCTTGCCACATGCGTCTTTGCTCTGCTCGCGCACGGTTTGTTGCCTGACAACTGCTATGTGACAATGTATCACATTACCATGTACTTGTCCGGTGCTGCTACAGTTTGCAGGGCCAGTAGAAAAGTCCTTTCATTCCTAAACAAAAGCCTTCACACTCTTTCCTTTGCCATTACTGCCGGTCATGACGGTGGTGATGGTGGTGATAGT